GGGACGGGCACGGCCAACTTCAGAGACAGGCACGTGTGCCCAGAGCCTGCAGAGGGGATTTTTTGTGGTGCTCACAGACTGTTTCATGTGTCAATGCGAGAGGAGCGTAATTACCAGCTGAGAGACTGCAGGAAACAAGCCAAGGCTGAGTGAACGAAATGGAAAATAAAGAGGAGCGCGGGGGACACGCACACATCCAAACTCTTACGGAGGTTCGTGTTCACGTGCTCGGGGCAGCCTGGGAAGATATAAGAGCTCATGACTGCGAAGGAATGAATTCAAGGACCGGTCTATGGGGAGCATTTTTTTTTTTTTTTTCCCTGTGACTTCAAACTTCTCTGGGAGCTCGCAGAGTTTTTAGTCAGCTGGCATGCAACAGAGGTACGACTTCCCCAAGGAAACTCATCCTCGGCTCGCGCTGGAAAGGCTGCTGGGAGAGTCCGGGAGGCAGAAGGCTCCTCCTCCTCCACCTCCAGCCTCAGAGCAGGTACGTGGAGCCGCGTGCGAAGCCGGGAGCTGCGGGAAAGTTGAGCTTTCAGCTGCGGGAGAGGTGAGGGCTCTGCTGGCTTAGAGCTGCAGCCTTTGGAAATAACACAGATGAGGCAGGTACTGTATGAATAAAATGTACTGTGTTTATGACTGGGCTGAGGAACTGGCTAAACACACCGTGGAGGTGGCTCTGTCCACACAGCTGCACCTTTAATCCATCAGGGACTTGCATTGCAGCGAGTTGGATCCTTTACGTTAAGGAGGCAACCGAGTAGTTTATAACGATCCAGTTGTCATACACTGCCTTTCGTTCGTGTTTGCATAGAAGATGGGGAGAGGGTTGGTTGTTTTTTTTTTTTCTTTCTTCGCAGGACTTCAGTCTATTTATGGTATTACTGCATTGTAGCGTTGTGAACCAGGAGTGCTGCAGAGATCAGCACTGAACACCAATTCGGTGCCACTCACCTGGCTCTCCGACACCGAACCCTGACACAGCCCCGGGCAAACCACACCGGCCCCGGGCAAAAGAGGCAAAACGCTGCTTGGCTTGTCTGCTCTCGCTGTCAGAGCTGTCATTGAGCTCTCCCTGCCCCAGCACGAGGTGTGAGATGGCAGGGTTATTGTGCTGCTCCTCAGATCCTGACAGCTTGAATGTCACCTTGGGTGAACGGGGACTTACCGAGAGGGTTTTGCTGCATCTGGACTGTTTCCATGAGAATTGGTGTTTAGGCAATGTTTGGAACTAGTGAAGTTTTAGAAAATCACGGTTTATATAAAAGTCACAGAAAATTTTCCAAGGCTGAGCCCTGTTGTGATTTTGGTAAAAGTATTTTTGATAAAAGGCAAATATGTTTCCCTTAAATAGAAGGAAAAGTTTGGGCTTGCACAACGGTGAAAATTTGGGTTTTTTTACTAAGATGTAATAATTTCAACTTTAAAACCAACTTATTACTCTAAAATGCTGACATCCTTTAGTTTTCAAGAACGAAATTTCACAATCAGTCATCTCTTTTTAAAGCAGAAGGTTACATCTCAGTGGCTGTATTAATGCTTGGCCCTTTACTAACACAATGGATGGATTCAAGGGGGAACATCAGAACCATGGAAATCGAGTCTATCAGAAATAATTTTCATCACCTCATTTTGTCACCTTGGATCATATAAACTGAGTACACCTTTTCCCAAATACTGACCCTGCTGTCAATAAAAAAAAAAAAAATTACTGAATTAAAAGCTTATTTTACTCTCTTTTTGCTGCGCTTAGATTATAAACTGGTGAGAAAATATTCTGGTTTGGTTCCTCGGGAATTTTGTTCCCCAGGGAGAGTATTTCATGGTCACACAGTTTAATCTGCAAATGCCAGTACATTTCACCTTTTGCTCATATAAGAGTTTTTGTTTTCCATCTCCTGCTCTCCCTTTGCCCTGCCCCTCACTCACAAATTCTCCAGGCTGGTGGGTTTCATGCAACTCTTGTTCACTTACATTTTCTTTCCTGCAGAGAGTAGTAAAAAAAATGGGTGAATAAAATAGGGAAAGTGGCCAACCCTCAGTTAATCGGACGCGTTAATTTTGGGTGGGGAGATGCTGTTGGCTGAACACCTGGTAGAGGTGCATGTGGAGAGAGAGGACAGAAAGAGTAGGAAGGTTCCAGGACATGGAGGAGTCCCTGTTTTGACACGAGGAGTTGTCCCCAGGAGGATGGGAGGCTGTGTGTGCCGTGAGACACCGAGCACAGCCCAGGGGGCACGAGCAGAAGGAACCAGGAGTTGCTGTGGAGTCTCAGGAGCTGGAGCTGTGCCTCCTTCCCAAAGGCTGTGGCTGAGGGTGGCATTGGCTGCTTATTTTTTAACAGGGTTGATATTAATGTTGTCTCCAGCTCCTGGGTGGGATGCATCACAGGGGAGCTATTCCAGCCAAAAGGGAGCAGGACTCGTCCCACTCCTGTCCTTACAGTCCAGAGCCACTTTCTAAGGCTGGGACTTGTTCTGTGCCCTTCTCTGGAGAGTTTGGTTCACACACGGGACCCAGCCCAAGAGCAGTGCCTCAGAAAGCAGCAGGGCTGTGGATGGACAGGCTCCCAGAGGTCTGCAGGTTCAGGACACGTGATTGCCAAGACATTTTCTTGTTTCTCTGAGGCCCCGAGGAACCTGCAGCCGATTGCAGACCAGCTGGGGAGAGCCAGTGGCTGGGATTTGCTTTTCCTTCTTGTTCTGGGCCATGCTGGGAAGAGGGTTTGGAGGAGAGGAGAGGTGTGACGAGGTGCCCCAGGCCTCAGGTGACGTGGGGTGACGTTCATCTGATGCAGGAAGCGACTCTGAGGAGACCACTGGAAAATCAGGAAGGGCCTGATTTCACGGAGCTGCAGGTGCAAAGCCTGTGGCATTGGTGGGATGGGACAGCCCCCCTTGCTGTTCTGTGGGCAGAAGAGCTCCATTCTCCAATCTGCCTGATGGAGATGAGGCTGGCTGGGGCTCTGGGTAACCAAGCCCATACCCTGCTAATATTTCAACACCACTCTAAGGTGGGAACTGCTGGGTAGCCCCAAGCACAAAAATGCTGAAAACGGGTAATCAGCCAAATGGTTCAGTGTCTTTGAAACTGTTTGCTGGCAGATCCCCTTTGGGAAAGGACAGAGATGGTAAGGACAGCACAGACCTCTCCCAGCACGGCTGGTGTCCTCTGAGAGCGTGGTTTTAATGGAGCAAAGTCCTGAGCAGTAGAATCAGTGCATGCCCTTCCCTCCTGCTTTGGCATTTGTTTCTGTCCAGGCTCTTCACAGTTGGGCTGGCACGACTGCCTGGCCACTCAGGAAAACAGCCCGAGGAACAGAGCTGGCTTTTTAAAAAGCACAACCAACAGAACCTCTGCTATTTTTATCCCTGCAAATCCAGACTTCCCAAAGTGCCCTGAACATCCAGGTGTAGCAAAATGTGATGCTGCCATCGCCCTGGCCACTCGCTGCTCTTCACTGCAGGCATGAGATTTGTCCTCCAGATCCAAACCAAAGCAAAATGTCCTATTATAAAAGAAAAAAAAAAAAAAAAAGGAAAGTTTTTTTTTTTTTTCCCTTGGAGACCTCAGCTATTTGAGGTTTTCCTTGCAAAAGTGTCTGTGCTTTTCAAATGCTGTTGCACACTGCTGACAAGGCATCCAAAAGGCATTTAAAGCTCTGGACATCACAGCAGTTCCCAGTTTCAGCCTGAGTTTCCTGCTTACCCCAAAGGGATTGCAGATGGAGAGTCTGACTCCAGGGAGTGTGCCAAAGGGACCAGGTGAAAAATAGCACTGCAGGCAGCCCTGACCAAGGGAGCTCCAAACATGCTGTGCTGGGGGAAAGGTGATCCAAAATGGTCTGATGAGAGCCCAGCCAAAGGGAACCCGCCCCGGGTTGTGATGATCCCACTGGTGGACTGCTCTCCTGAGAGCTTAACATGGATTTTCTATCCATTGCACCTATTCATGCCCTCCCCTGTTGCCTTGTCAGAGCATTTTCACAGCTAGACGAGCAACCTGGTCTGCTGGAAGGTGTCCCTGCCCCATGGCAGGGGGTTGGAACGAGACGATCCTTAAGGTCCCTTCCAACCCAAACCATCCTGTGACTCTGTGATTTATGCCTCTCATTTCAGGGTGCATTGACAAGCAAACGACACGTTAAGAGCCCAGTTCTTTGGTGTATTGTTTCAGCCATGGGAAAAGCGTTTTACAACAGCTCAGACTCGTGTCTTTGGGAAAAAACAACGGGGAAATCTACGTAAAGGTGGGGTTTCCAGAAGCAGGGCTTAATTAGCAAAAGGAAGTGAGGAAACCAGCAATTAGGCAGCTACTCCAGCCCTAGAGGGCAGCACGAAATAATAAATAAAAAGCTGAGCTCTCAGGCAATTTGAAATCATCTTCTGTGTGACAGAAGTACCCCTTTGCAATGGGAATTCTTCCTGGCAGATCCAGTAGATTCAGCACTGTGCGCTTGGAGTCAAAAGATTCAGCAGCTCGTCTGAAAATGCCTTTATCAAGGTCCCTAATTCCTGCCTCGTGCCATGAAAACCCCCCAAGTGTGTTGTAGCCAGCGCCGGACCCCCGTCCTGCCCCAGGCTGCTGTCACACCCCCGTTGGTGGGGCGGCTGCAAAGAGAAAGAGTGATTTCTTCCAGGACAGGTTTCCAAATTCCTGGTTTTACACTTATCAGCCGTGAATTTTAAACATTTAATCCTCGGGCGCTGCTTCCCTAAAGATGTGGGGGGGAGATTTAGGTGCGGGAGGCTGCAATCCTCCGGGAACGTAAGACACAACCCCCCCGGAGTAAACACCCGCCGTGCCCCGCACGCAGCCGAACAATGGCACTGCCCGTAAGTCCCTTATTCCCCCGAGCAAACCCACAGCCCGATCCCGACGGTTCCTCTGGCAAAAATCCCCCTGTTTCCCAACGCCTGCCCCAAGGAAGGGCTGCAGGATGTCGCACAGTAGCCGACTCCGTCCGGAGCACAGCGGTGGCCGGGACCCAGCGAGAGCCCGGGGAGCAGTGCAGAGGAAGACAGGCAGCATAATTTAAAGCAGGCACTGGCCCAAATAAGGCTATTTCCCTGGAAATGCCTCCGTTCTGGAGTTACGAGTGAGCCTCCAGGAGTCCCGAATGGGCGAAGGCGAAGCTGAGGAGTAATTCCATCGGTCCCAGGACTGGATCGGTTCTGAAGAGCTGGATATGCTTTTTAAAGGGATGATAAGCGGTGTTTGGGGATGCGAGAAACCCTTGAAACAAGGTAACTGTGAAATAGTCACTCTTTTTAACCCTGAAGGATCTCACGTAACAGGAAAGAGTCTTGTGTGGAAAAGGATCAGAGCCCGGGGAGTTTGATTTGTGTTCTGTGTGTTCTCTTGTACTTAACTTCCCTTGGCACAGGAGAATGCCTCTGCTAATTGTCTAAGCAGTAACAAAAATTACCTTTGGGGGAAATTTGGAAGGTGCTGCTATCAGCTGCAAGCAACATCTATGAAGTTTCAGGATAATATTGTAACAGAGAGGGAGGCAAACACTCTTCTGAAGTGGGAACTGGGAAAACTGGGATTAAATCCTGATTATTCTATGGTTTCAGGCATGTCTTGGGGTAAACCACTGCTCTTCTCTGCCTTTGCCCTCCCATTTGTTAGGTGGACATGCTGATCTGGACTGGGTACCATGCTTTTTCTAGGAGCTGAATTGTTTGACCCACTTACTGATACTCCTTAGGGGTGATGTTCACTGAAACCTGGGTGTTCACCGACACTGAGGTGTTCACAGATGTTCACTGAAACCACCTGTGTTTTTCAGCTGGGTCTGGGTGATTTGGAAGCGCTGTGATGGAAAGCTGTGGCACTGCACAGGGCTCAGAGCTCAGTCCTGCTCTGAGGTGTGCTGGGATTTCTCTCACAGCTGCCACTGGGAGCAAACTGGCGCTGAGCACGAAGCTGCTTCCACTCTGGGAAAGCCTCAGAGCAATAAAGGCTCCTTTAGGTCGAGTTGTTGCGGCTGCTGCTGCTCCCAAACTGCTTTTGGAAGCTGTGCTTAGAGACATCAGTGCCAGCAGGAAGGGATTAGGGTCGGGGGAAGTCCCCTCTGACACCGAGGGAACGGGGTCCTGTGAGCCCTGGGCTCTGCACTGGGAGGGGGTGGGGGGCTGCTGAGACCTGCCCAGAGGGTGGAGAGGAGGGGGATGCAGGGCTCTGTCACACTCACAGTTCCTGAGGAGGTTCTGAAGGTTGTCCAGAGAAAAGCTAGGCAGGAAAAACTCCCCAGCTGGACAGCTGAGCTGAAAACCCCCATGGGAAGGGAACCTCCCTGAGCAAGGAGGTTGGGCTGGACCATGACAGGTCAAGAGGAGGTAGCTTTAGGTTGTGCAAGGGGACATTCAATTTAGATATTAGGAAAAATTTCTTCACCCAATGGTTGTCCAGCCCTGGCACAGCTGCCCAGGGCAGAGGGGGAGTCCCCATCCCTGGAGGGATTTAACAGCCCTGTGGATGTGGCACCTGGGGACATGGGTGAGTGGTGGCCTTGGCAGCGCTGGGGGAATGTTGGAATCAATGGTCTTAGAGGGCTTTTCCAAATGAAATGATTCTATGAGAACAGAGTCCACGTGGTCTTGTGCTGGAAGAGACCCCCATGTCCTGATGCTTCAGGATGCAACAGCCACCTCAGAGACACCTTGAGGGGCAGCATCCTTGCTTACTACACCTCTGCCTTACACAGCAAGCCATTAAATCCCATTTTCTGGGGTCAAATACATCAGTTTCCCAGTTGCTTTATAAACTCAAAATTTAGGATGTTTCAAAGTATGTTCAGAGCCTGGATTGTGCCCAGGGTTATTATTTAAGAAGCAAAGGGGCCGTGTTTTGCACTGATGGTGTGACAAGACATCACAGAGCACACATGCTGTCCACCAGGGTGGTGCCCAGCTGTGAAAAGCATCCTCAGCTGAATTCATTGGATCTAAACAGAAAGGATTTCCCTTTCTGGGCTCTGAGAAAAGCCTTGTGATCATCGGAATGATTCTCTTTTCCCTCCATCCCGGCAAACTAACAGTCAAATGGTCAAACCGATTTTCTCCTTGTAGGAGGCACCAACTCCTGTAAGCACAGGGCTGAGGAGCAGAGGTGGGTCATTAGTGCTGTGTACTCAGAGAGGGGTTAGTTTATAGCACTGCTAGTGTTCTTCCCCGGGTTGGATGGTGACCTGGTGCCAGCTTTCACATGTCCCACTGAAACCTAACCATAACTACTTTTACCTGCAGAACCATGAAACTGTACATCCTCCTCCTCCTGGCAGTGGTGAACACAGGGACCTCTCACTGTCAGCCCTCAGAGGGGCCATCCTGTGAAATGGTAAGGCTGTCTCCCTCCCTGGGGCCCTGGAGATCCTGGCTGGACCCCCTTGCTCCAGGCACTGCACAAAGAGCTGCAGTCTCTGAGAAGGGAAAGCCCCCAGCCCAGGCTCCCTGTGGTGGCAGAGGTGGGATCTGCAGGGTTAGGGGGGGTTTAGCAGCCTGTCCTCAGGCTGTGCCCTTGTTGTAGTGACAACACAGAAAGGGGGAAGGGGGAAGAAGGGTCATTATCTCAGCTTTTTTTATAAGGAGGAGCTGGTCAAAAGAAATTTGACCTGATTTCCCCAAGACTGGATAGGGATTCTGAGACAGGGAAAGAACTTAGACCTAAAATCAACTCCATTATATCAGCTATTCTTTGTGCTTTAATTAAAGCATCCCCTGTGAAATACATCTCTACCAGCCCTTCTGTGATAGCAGGAGACTGATCTCCTCTGCCCTGGCACAGTGTTTCTGCCAGGGAAGTTGCACCTGACTCCTGCTGGAGGGAAGAGAAATGACAAAGCCTCTTGCTCCAGTACAAAATTTGGTCCTTTAATTTTTGCAAGCACCTGGTGCAATATTATAGATGTTATTCACAGCTGAACTTTCTCCCTTCCCTCTCCAAGTGCTTCTGACTGTACCAGGCTGTCTAAAAATACTATTTTTTTCCCCCCTGAACGTTGAAGCTGTTCAGCACAAATCCTCCAGGATTTCCAAAATAGGGAAAAAAAAATAATTAGCCAGCTGTACACATCTCCCTTATGGGACTCATTCCATTCCTGCCCACCCTGCCATATTGCTGCACTTCCTGAATTCCAGAGAAATGAAGACCTAGGATACATAAAAAGACCTTGGGAAGGTGACTGGGTGGCTCAGTTCATTGGCTGGAGAGGGAAGATGGATGAAGGCACTGTAAACATGCCCCTGGGGTCCCAGGGATCACAGTCACACAGGGGCCAGATGGGACACACAGCGACCCAGGCGGATTCATCCCGGCCCATTCCTGGATGGGTCACAGCCCAGGCTCACTGCTGAGAAGTAAACACAGGCTTGTTTCCACTGTAAACTGCTTTCGTGGAGCCAGCCCCACAACTGGGCTGGGCTCAGCTGAGCCCTGACAGAACCCACGGGGCCGGGATGTGCCTCTGGTGGGGATCGGCAGTGCAGCGTCGCTGGGGTCCTTCTGCACGGGGCATGTGGGGGGATCCAGGCACAGCTGGAAGAAAGAAGGAGCTCCTGGGTTAGCTGATGGCTTCACTGAGAGCCCGGCATTGTTATCTTTCATCACAGCCCTGCTGTTCCACGTTGTGCTTTCCCTGTGGTGACACCTCTGGAATAGCAGAGGCTCTGAAATGGAAACTTTCACCCCAAATCTCGTGGAAGAGGCATGAGTCAGAAACCTGTGCTCCTCTCTGACTCACCCCTGGTGCTTCTGTCGGTGAGCTGAAGTCTCACAAAAGAGGCTGTGGGAAGTAAGCAGTCCCTGCCAGCCCCCTGACATGGGAGTGAGCTGCACTGATGACACAAATCACGGCACATCTGCCGGTTTGTGAGACAGCAAAGGCACAGCTTAAATGTCAGGAGGCTCTTCCTGACTCACATTGCTTTCCAAGGATAGGCAAGGCTTCAACTAGGTCATGTTTTACCTCCCAAAGAAAGATGATTCTACTAATTCCTGCTAATTGGCAAAGGAGGATCTTACAAACAATTTGCAGAAGGGAAGGGATTTAAGGCAATTTTCTCTTACCTTGCCTGGAGGTGATGCAGGGGCATAATGCACAGCCAGTTTTCATGGGCCAGCTGCTGTGTGGCACCTGGGCAAACTGCTCAGGTTTGTGAAGTCAGAACATGAGACTGACAGAAACCTCTTCTCCAGTCTCAGACTCCCAACCCACTGGGCTCAGGGGGGGGAGAGGGGGGAGATGAACCAACCAGGCACTGTTTGCTGCATCCCACTGAAATGTGCTGCATCTTTTCTTCCTGCTGCTGCTGAGATGGAAACTCGTGCAGTTTGCACCAGAGACGGTGCAGAAGAGACAAGATAAGAAATTTAGTGAGGGTCAAAATAAATCAGTGAAGAGAAATGAAAGCTTAAAAAGAAAAACGGGAGGGGAAATGTTATAGGAACAAATGGCAGATGGTGGGAGGTATAGATTTTATAACCTTTTATAGATTTTTATAGATTTTATCAGTCCCTGTTACCACTGTCAGGGTTCTGTGGATGCAGATGAAAGGCCAGATCCTGCAAGGCTCCTGGTGAGCTAGGAGTGACCTCTTCCCAAGGACTCCAGGGAAAACCAGCCTGTTGGCATCGACAGGAGCTGTGTCAGGGCTTTGCCAAGGTCTGGGTGCCCAAGGGGAGTGGGGGCTGCCCAGCACTTGCTGAGATGTGGCTCCAAGGGTGAGAAGAAACCTGGCATCTGCCTCAGGCTGCAAAGCAGTTTCTGCTTTTTCACTCTGGATTTTTGTGTCCTCCTGGCTTCTTCCTCTTCCACAAATGAATAAGAAGAGCCTTCCTGTTCTTGTATTTGCCTCAGGGACGAGCCCAACTATGGGAATATTTGAAGTCAAAACGAGCAAGTCTGTGGTGACTTTGCAGGAAAGAAATAGTGTCAGGGAGAAGCCAGGAAATTTCCTTCTTTTTTTTTTTTCTAATTTTTTTTTAGGTGGAGAAGATTTGAGTGAGTTGGAGGGAAAACAGGAAGGGGTTCAGGTTTTGATAGTCAGTTTACTTGGGATCTTTGGGAAGGATGTATCATGGGAAGGACTGTGGAGCAGCTTGTGTACGTCTAGAGTTTGGATGAGGACTTGCACTTCTCTGGCACATTTTTGTGTGGTCTCCAAAACTCAGATGATGCAAAAGAGATTCACAAAATGCTGACTAGTGTCCCACTTCTCCCAAACAGATCTGCCACTCCATTCTCCTCAAAGTTCATATGAAACAGATGGGGCTTAATATTTTTGAGTTTTAATGTTTGTTTAATGTCTGAAAAGCTTTGCGTCATGGAATTTGGATTCTGCTTCTCCACAGAAGTCAAGGTTCAACAGATTTTTTTCTTTGTTTTTTTCCTTTCTTCCTTTTTCTCTTTTTTTTCTCTCTTTCTTTTTCTTTCCCGATCTTTCTACCAACAGTACACGACCCAGACACCCAAATACATTAATAACATGAGTTTTCCTCCAGTAAATTAAATGCTGCCTAAGCCTTTCACATTCCACTTCCTCCTGCTGCTGTGTGTTCTCCTTAATAACGAAATAGAGCTTGACATTTACGCAAGGATGGTCAAATTCATGTTTCCAATATTCCCTATGAACACACACACCAGATTTTGCTCTGGACACAGACTCAGTCGTAGCTGCAATTAATGTTCCAGTTGGTGAAGGACCCAGTTGGGTTAAAGATGCCTTGCTGAACTAAGCCATGGCTAAAGAAAGGCACCATCAAACATTGGAGGGGCTGACTATGAAGGAGAGAGGGGTTTTGTGCTATAGGATCCTTATATGTTTTTACATCTCCTGCTGCCAACAGAGAGAAGCTGTTACTATTACTACTGAAGGTAGAGTTTGTAAATTCTAATACAATGATGAAAGTGAGAAAATTAAACATCAGCACAAAAGTGAGGAAATGGAGCTTGATTGCAGAGAAAACTGAGCAAAACTCCTTCCCCTGGAACTATTAAAATGAGTCCAGGAGAAAGGCACAAAAAGGAGACCATTTAGTGGGTGTCACATGCAGATAGAAGTCTCCTGGTCTAAGTCAGAAATATCTTTAAAATGAAATGAGTGCTCTTAGCTGCAGAGCAGCTAATCAGGGTTAGCAGTTAGGGTTGTTGCTCTTGCTGTCTGGACGCTCAGAAAAAGTGGTGTGAGCAGTGTTTCAGGTGCAGCATCTGCCTGGATGCTGAGTGTTATCTCTCTTACACTTAATGCAAAGACATTTTTCACTGGTCATGCGACAACCCCTTCTCTCTCTTTTTCTGGCAGGCAAACTCTCAGGCATTTTGCCACAACAGAGACCTCCACCAGATCCCTCACGGGCTCCATCCACGTGTAAACAAAATAGATCTGTCTGGAAACCTGATTCAGAGCATCCCTGAGACGTCGCTGTCACTCTACAGCTCCCTGCAGTGCCTGGATCTGAGCTCCAACCAGATCAGCTCCATCACGCCCGGAGCCTTTGCACACTTGAAGAGCCTGCTGGAAATAAATTTAGCCAACAATCACTTGTATGAACTCGCTCAAAATGGCACAGAGGGGATTGGACTCTTGCCCAGGGTGGAAGTGCTGGACCTGTCCCACAACAGCCTGTACAATGGGATGGCTGAGCATTTCATCCAGAGGGCTCCAGCGCTGCGCTACCTGTCCCTGGCAGACAACAGCATCATAGTCATATCACACAGGATGTTCCAGGGCTCTCCCAGCCTCGTGGAGATAGATCTTCAGAGTAATATCATCATGGAGATACAAGAAGGTGCTTTTGAGACTCTAGTGAACCTTTCCAAACTCAATCTCTCAATGAATTCAATTACTTGCATCTCTGATTTCAACCTCAGGCAGCTGGAGATACTTGACCTTAGCAGGAACAGCATTGAGACCTTCTACACCACAAAGTCAGATGATGAATATAGCTTAAGATGTTTGGATCTGAGTGAAAACAAACTGCTCCACTTCCCAGTGTTCCCTCAGGTAAATAAGCTGGTAACTCTGAATTTATCAAAGAATTTAATCCAGCTCACTGCTGAATCCCCTCCTAATAAAATGGACTATGTGGAAAACGAATGGCTGGATGCCTCTTTCCATCTTCTCAATCAGAAGCAAAGTAGAAACAAAAGTTCTCTTTATTTATCCCACCTTGTGTATTTAGACTTAAGTTATAATGAAATCCAATCCATTCCGGATGAGTTCTTTGAATCCATGTTGTCCCTTCGCACCCTTAACCTCAGTAAAAACTGTCTTCAGGCATTTGCAGTGACTTATGACAGTGCATTGACCTCCCTCACTGTCCTGGACTTGAGCTACAACGTCCTGCAGAACCTTCTCCTCGATGCCGGTGTGTTGTCAAATTTGAAGGAGCTCTACATTCAAAACAACCACCTTCAAACCCTGCAGTTTGACATCTTCTCAAGCCTTCCCAGCCTCAGGCTGCTCAATCTGCAGAGCAACAACGTCAGCCTTTGCAGCATGTACTCAGGATTAGCTAAGCAAAGGCTTGCAGGGGAGGAAAGTGGCTGTGTGTCCTTTGTGGATTCTCCTGCTCTTCAGTGCCTGTACCTGGCTGACAACATGCTGAGCATCCTCCCAGCATACACCCTGTACAAGACTCCTCTGGTTGTCTTGGACCTCTCCCTGAACCCTGGGCTGAAAATAGAACTGAAAGCATTATCAGGTCTGGAAAAGTCTCTGGAGTATTTGTATTTACATGGTAACGGGCTGATAGATTTAAATATTGACTTGCCTTGTTTTAGTCACCTTAAACATTTAAACCTCTCTGAAAATCAGCTGAACTGGCTGCCAAAGTGGGGGAGTGACTCTCCACTGGAAGTTCTGGACCTACGGAACAATAGGTTCAGCACATTACAGAACAGCAATATTTTAGCATTAGAAAACTCACTTAAGAACTTGTATCTCACTGGGAACCCACTCAACTGCTGTGGGAACATCTGGCTTTCATCCATGATCCAGAACAAAAACGTCCAGATCCCCAACGTGGAGCACTTGACGTGCCAGTACACCCAGAACTTCGGGTACCAGGAAGAGATGCACGTCGGGAACATCAGGCCAGAAGACTGTGAAAAAGAGGATCTGAAGAAGATCAACTTCCTCATCATATTAACGTTTGTGTTGGTTCTGTCCGTGCTCGTCATCGGCGTGGGGTCGTTCTTCTGCTTCCGCAGGCAGAACTTCAGCCCTCAGTTTAAAGCCAAAGGGCCACAAAGTGCCCTGAGGACTGAGAGGATCAGGTGCTGCACCGACAGCGTGTAGAGATGAAGGGTGAAATTCTCGCCTTTGGTTTGTAACTGTGGATTTGAAGATGCTTTCGAAGTGCCCCTCGTAGTGGTCTCTCTGGGCTGCGGGGACTGGAGGGAGGATTTGCCGTGTCTTGCAGGTCCACAGTTCAACTCAAAGAGGAGAAATTCGGCCCTCGCCTGCAATATGTATTTAACTGGGTTTAATGTGAAGAAATTCCTCTCTGGGGTGAACATATTTAAATAGGAAGACCCTGGAGAATGAATTTCAACCAGCTGACATTGGACTGACTGAAATGTTTGCGTTTCTAAGGAAAAACTGTTGGGAACTCACTGCATGCGGTTGCATTTCAGTGCAGAAGAATAATATATCTGTTTTTAAAGGTCACAGGAGGTTAGACTGCAAAAAGGTGTTTTGAAGATGCCAGTGTGAAATAAGGCCTAGGGAACATAGTCCTGGCCATTATTCAGACCAGATGTCCACTGTCTTTCCATAAAAATATACTGTTGTCTACAGGATGGGCTGCAAGAAATGTTATGCAGCCCCTCATTCTGGGAGGGGTTTAACATGGCTAAGCTGTTCACTGCTGACACTGATCAATGTTATGCCCTGCACTGACAGAAAATTCACCCTTTTAAAGGGAACACGACAGCGAGCGGGAGCCCGACCTGCTCACAGGGTTCAGTGGCTTTGAAAAGGAGCCAAATCAGGTTTTCTGTTAATGCCAGGAACTGTACATTCAGAAGAGAAACAGAGGTCAGACTGAAACCTGCCCAGGTAAATAACTCAGAGTCAAATTGCTGCTCCATTTCTGTTTCTTCCAGCTGGTGAATGTCAAAATTAACACACTACAAAAAGGTGTAAAATTTTAGTTTTTAAGCGGTTATGTAAGAAGCTGGCTGGTGATTTTCGTTGTGGAATTTTGTACAATAAAAACACCTTCGAATTTTGCAAAAAGCACAAGGCTGTGGATATATTAAAGCACCAGCTTGGAAAGCTCCACAGATGAAAAGAAACGTCTTCCTATTTTTCCATGGACTCCACCTTAGACCTGTGCCTCCTGATCCTGAAGCAGGGACAGCTGCTCCATATCTTGGAGTGCAACCAGTGGAGAACAAGGAGATCTACTGGGGATGGGGGCAAGAATTTGGCACGGGTTGCCCAGAGAAGCCGTGGCTGCCCCACCCCTGGCAGTGTCCAAGGCCAGGCTGGACGGGGTTTGGAGCAACCTGGGCTGGTGGAAGGTGTCCCTGCCCATGGCAGGGGGGTGAATGGGGTGAGCTTTAAGGTCCCTCCCAACCCAAACCATTGTGGGATTTCTGTGATTCTGTGAATTTGCATGAACCATCAGCAGCAGTAGGGCCTGATGCCACAGTGCAGAAACCAGTGGGCAGCACCATTAATCCTGTGGAAGGTTTGCACCAGCAGCACTCCCAGGGATTAGCTGGCAGCCCAGTGCTGAAGGTGGTGTGAGAGCCCCTGAGCTGTGCCCAGCTGAGGGCTGATGTGCCACTGTGAGGAGCATGGCAAGGCTCTGTCTCCCCCTGAGAGCCAGGATTAGCTTGGCTGCCATGACTGGAGTTAGTTAATAACCTGATGACAGAGCCAAAAGCCACTTAATTAACGTTTTTAACACTGCTTTTGTTTGGCTCCACCGAAAGGAAGTGCTTGTTATTACTAAACATCTGGGATTAATTAGACTTCCATGGACTTCCCTGGGAGCAGAAACAGCTTTCTTGAGGAATAAAGCTCAGGAGTAAAGCGCAGCACGGCTCATTTGGATTTCTCTGTCAGCAGCACAAGCAACCAAGAAGTGACACGAGCCTGCTCTGGCCAGTCCTGGCGTTATGGATGGGATGAGCAGGTTGGGGGAAAGAAAATATGAATAAATTCACAAAGAGAGGGAGGACAGGGAGAAATGGGAGCTCTACATTCTATTATTCAAAATAGTGTGTGATGAATGTAAACAGAGGAGGACCCCAGCTCATGAGGGGTGACAGACAGAAGTACCAAGTAACCAGGGAAACGGAGGGAAACTGAAATGGGAGGGAAAAGAGACGGGAAAAGCCTGGAAGAACTTCCTGAGGAGAGCTGTGCAACATTCTTTGACGAGCAAAGACATTTGGAGGCTGATGCAACATGATATTAAACAAAACATTGGCAAATACGAGGGAGCAGTCCTGCAACACTGTGAGAGTCACTTTTCTCCCAGGCTGCTGCTCGTGGCTGCTCTGCTGTGCTGCAGAGCCAGGGCAGTTCCACAGATCTCCTCCTCCTGCCCATTCCCAGCAGTCGTGGCATCAGAGACACACATATGGGAGACCTGACTGCAGCCTTTCTGTACTGAAAGGGGGCTGGAAAAAGAGAGAAAGAGTGGCTTTTCATACGGGGGGATAGGGGCAGGGGAAGGGGGAATGGTTTTAAACTAAAAGAGGGGAGGTTTAGATTAGTTGTGAGGAAGAAACTGTCCCCTGGGAGGGTGGGGAGGCCCTGGCACAGGTTGCCCAGAGAAGCTGTGGCTGCCCCTGGATCCCTGGAAGTGCCCAAGGCCAGGTTGGACGGGGCTTGAAACAGCCTGGAATAGTGGGAGGTGTCCCTGCCTGTGGCAGGGGACTGAAATTAGGTGATCTTTAAGGTCCCTTCCAACCCAAACCATTTTGGATTCTATGATTTTCCAGTTCCTGAGCCATATACTCTTTGAAGAACCATTCTGGAAGGTGACTGCAGGAGAGATTCCTCTCTGCTGTTCCTGGCTTCCCCAGAAAATGGACTGGAGAAGGGAGTCCTGGGTCCTGAAGACCAGAGCAGCAGAGAACTGCATTCTCAGGTAGGAAGCCCACCAAAGAGAAGAAGGTTTGGGACAGGCAGCTGGGCTGGAGATATGGCACAAGGTGAGCAGAAGGGGAATGAGAAGAGCTAACCCAGGAATTTGGAATAGAAATTACAGAATCACAGAGTGGCTGGGGTTGGAATGTCCCTCTGGAGATGATCTAAGTCCAGCCCCCAGCTAGAGCAGGTTCACTCAGGGCACGTTGCACAGGACCGTGGCTTTGTGGGTTTTAAATCTTTCCAGAGGAGGAGATTCCACAAGATTTCCTCCTTCTTTTCTCCCTCCCCTCCAATTTATAGCTCAAAATTAAAGTTAATATTTTCAAAATTTTCCATGAAAATTCTGAAAAATATGAAGTTGGGAAATGTTTCCTTTGTAAGGCCAGAGCTCCAGTTTGAATTCAGGTATTCCTACAGCAGAAAGCACATGCTCATACAATAAAATAAACATTCAGTTTGCTTTTACTATCTCTGTTCTAGAGAGGATAAGGAAATGTTTCAATCAGTTAATGCTAAATAACATCCCTCCCAGTCATCACTAAAACAAAACAAAGCAAAATAAACCAAGGTAATACAGACATAAAATATTAGGCTGTTGAAACTATATAAATCTCCTCATGTTTTAACACATCAACTAGTGCTGGGGCACAGGAAGAACACCAAATAAAATGATGGTGCTCTAGACCCTTCCCCAGCTCCATTCCCTCCCCTGGACACCCTCCAGCCCCTCGATGTCCTTCTTGGAGTGAGGAGCCTAGAAGTGACCCCAGGATTTGAGGTGTGGCCTTGGCAGTGCCCAGCCTCTCAGCACCCAGACCCTGCTTTTTCCTTACCACTTCTTATTTCACAACTTGCTCGTTGGGATCTTGCTCTTGTGCAAGAGTTGCTATGGGAATAAAGCCTTATCTCAAAGAAAGATCTTGCTTTATATTGGCGAAATAAAACGAGCAGGTCTCCCTGACTTCCCTCCTCCAATAAGAATAACCCTTTATTCAGATAATAAAGGCTAAATTTTCCATACAAACATTCAAAAGTCCCTTGCTTTTCCACTGCCCTTTTTCAGATATCCCACAAATCTGAAAGAAAGACACAACCTGCTGTGCACATGGGGAAGGAACGGCAGTTATTCTTCTGGTTAAACCAGTGCAGTTTTTGAAGATGTCTCAGCTGTAAATGAATGAGGTCAACTTACAGCCTGTTCACCAGCCAAGCCCTCACAACTGCCTGCATCTCTCTTTGTTTGTGAAGCAGTTCAAATCGTGTTTAAAAGCAGTTTTAAATCACGTTCATGTTTTCCTTGACAAAAGGGACGGGCTGAGACGGCGTCCAGCAACATTTGCCTACTGACAGGGGCTAATTCATTAGGTCATGAGCCACCACCCCGTGGCAGCTGCTCCTCTCTGCCTTCTGCTGCCTTGCTTTGCAGAGCTCCCAGGTGTGCCCCTCCACACCCCTGGTCTCAGGAATGAGGTTACAAAACCTGGCAAAGTTTTCCAGCCAGGCGCCGTGAGAGAGTTCAGAGGGGGCCCAGCAGCCACTGGGAAAGGTGTGAAAAACAGGCAGAAAGACTGTGAGAACTGGTTCACAGTAGAAGGGGGAGAGTTAAAGCACGTAAACACAAAGAGATGTTTTAAACATTCTGAGTCAGCAGGGGAGAAAGAAGAAACACAGAGAAAATGTAAGTCAAATGCTGGGTGGGTTTTTACAGCCTCAGCGCTGGCAGAGGTGTAAATGGATGTTGGGATCAGCCCTGGACCAGAGGAACCCAGCAGTGTCTGTGTCCTGGAGGAGCCTTTCTGCAGGGATACTCTCCTGTCAGTTTGGAATTACACATGTTGGAATGCAAATTATTCAGGCCTTCAGAGACAACTCTTATTATCCTGGAGGGTTTTCGGATCAGCCTGAGTGCCTGAGTCCTTCTTGCTCCATGGATGAAGGAAAATTGTCCCAGAACAGTTTAACCAGCACATCCAAGTTCCTGCCTGGGAGCAGCCCTTTGGTGGGATAGTTTGTGTCCCATCAGTGAGGGCACTGCTGTGGGTGCTGCTCACATTTTCCTCTACAAAGGGTGCCAACAACATGTATGGGACTGGTGATGACAACAGGGGATGATCAGCAGGTTCAGTGCATCCAGCAACTTTTTGGACTGTGCTCAGAGGCCAATCTGGGTGAAAGCTGGAGACACCATCAAAAGTGAGGCTTTATACAAAATGTTCATTGTTTAATGCATTTTTCCTCAGCTGTTTTGTTTACTCCACGTTGACCAGTGCCTTTTCCTCTCCCTCTGTTTTACATTGGATTCCTCTCTGTTTCACACTGGATTCCTCTCTCTGTTTCAAGCTGCCTGTCCTAAACAGGACATAAACTCAGCAAGGTTTGATCCCAAGCTGAACTTTTGAACTGTATCATATTTGAGTGGACTGGAGATTAAGTCAAGGGAATTTGTGGACCCATATTTCATCAAGAGGTGAGGCCTCTCTTCCTTGTTTATTATTTCTAAAACATTTAAATTTTTAGAAATAATATTATTGACTAGAAGAAAAAAACCCAAACCTGCTCTAATTGGACCAGTCGTTTCAGTGCACTAAATTATTATGGGATCAGCCAAATCTGTGCTCCAAAGGGTGCAGGCAAGCATGAATTATGGGCTGGCACTCTGTCAAAAATGCAGCTATTGTTCTCAAAAACAGGATGCAGACCAAGGGGAAATGGTGTCTAGTCTTGACTGTTCATAGTGTAGGCATAAAAAAAAAAAAGTCACTGTAGTCCTGAGAAGGTGGGAGGTCAGACCTTCAGGGGAGAATTATTTTATAGACACATTCTGCTGACGCTGCTGATTCCCACCATGGAGGGGTCTGGCTCCCCAGGCGTGGATGAAAGCATTTGTTTGGTCCATCATGTTGGGGGGTGTGGTATCCACGGCACCTGCAGAAGACGTCAGAGCAGCAATTGGTAACTTACAGACTTGGAAAGTTCCTTTTGAGCCAGACAACGAGGAGGCTCCATTTGGAGCACCCTTATCCAGCAAGTGTCTGCTGGCACACAGCTCCCCCCTGCAGGGTGTGGCAGCAGCTCAGGCACCAGGTTTGCAACCAAACGCATTCTGCACTGGCCAGG